CGACAGCCATTCTATTCGTCGGTGTCGAGCCCTGCTGTGATGTATGTGTTCCAAGTCCACAGTCTCGACGGTCATTCGCGTGAGTATTCAGCAGTCACATAGTCCTTAATTGCTGCTTTATGCTTCGCCTCAGGTAAATCTGATAAGACCGTTTGTCAGTGGTGAAGCGAGACTTTGAGAGAGGCGTCTACGTTGACATGGTTGATGCCAGGTGTGTTGATGCTACGACTTCAGGAGTAGCCACATTTGATTTGAGAATCTATTCACTTGAGGAATTACCTACTCACGGCGTGAAAGCACGTGTTTTTATTCCCCATTCTACTTTATCCAGAGGGTCATGGAGACATAGGAATTTCCATCTTTGGAGTCGGCTGTCTTGGTACGGTGTTTTGGACTAGAGCATGCTTGACTCCCACCAGAGACTTCATTAAAGCCCTTTCCTTTCATATTAGTATCACTTTTGTGTTCGTGGATACTTTTACAGACATTCTTATCTCATAATGATACCCGAGACGCAAAAAATGCTTAATGTTGATTGAATTGGATCACATCACATCACCATTGCTTTACTAGAGATCGTTAATAGTACCATGTAGAAAAGCAAAGTACTATGATTAAAATATTGTCGTAAGTTTCACCAATGGTAAGCAGCCACCGTTACCAGAAAAAAAAAATTGCAAAATACACCACGGAGCTCTCCTAGCCATTGAACGCAGATAGAGGTGCGTTTGAATCACATTTTAAAACGATTTTATGTGCATGCTATTTAAATTATCGAATAAATATTCTTTGCAATGTTAAATTGTCAATCTTTTCGCAAGTCTGACAATTATGTATCACGGCAGTTAAGGTGGTATACTGTGTAGTCTATGTTAGGTGGTAATTGATATCCCATGATAAAAAAACAAGCTACAACTTTGATGCATTTTAAATCATCATTCCATCGTTATTAATTTTTTGCAGGAGAATTGCTTAAATAATAAACAGGTCTCATTTCAGCCGAAGGATATTTAGACCGTTATAGCTGCAGTGCAATGTGCACGCACGAAAGACTCGTTTTGACATCA